ATGATTCTCATATACCTTTACGCTTTTCCTTGTGACTTTTCTTCGACCCATTTTATTTTTACATGTATAGCGCTGATAGCAGCAGCGATGGTAGCCTGCATTAGGTGGAATGGGTGGAACATTGCCACTTTCTTCTGAAGTGAAGTATCTAAAATGTGGAAGAAATGCATATTCTGAACAACATGAGTGTTTTTCGACAAATAAAAATACCACTAAACACTGACTAAAACCACTCATACATAATGCATTTTATCTCATGTACCGTACGGTACTACAGTCATGTAGTGTTTGCATAAAAGATTATGTGTACACTGAATCTCGTTAAATCACACAGTCCCTGCCCTGCATACATATATATTTTAAAACATTAACTGTCATTGTATAAGTCAATACAGTGATACATGAATTCTCACCTTTCAATCACTTCCAACGCTACATCTTTTTCAACTCCTGCATGACTTATATTTGCTGCCAGGTCTTTGTCGACTCTATAAATTTAGACCAACCGACATCAGTAAAATTGGTCACTTTCCCCTCGTTCTTACAAACATGCATCACACAAACGGCCATTATTTTTTATTCAAATATACTGTAGTCTATATTAAAGGGTCTGCTGAATACTCAAGAATCGTCAATAAATTAATTCTAAACCTTCCATACAAGCATGGAAATATCTTTGTTTGTTTGTGATACCGTAACTTTATATCTTTCTAGGTCTAGTCCTCCTTCAGTCCTTGAAGTTGCCCTACAAAGCCTATTTAACAACTAAAATTGCTATCCATGGTAAGAATCTACGAGTGTATAACACCTTACCTATACTTTTTAACACCGTCTTAGCATAACTCAATTAATAATAACTAAAAAAACGATGGAAAGGCAACCGCACCCAACCTAACACAAGACTGAGCGATAAAACTGAGATTCATCCGCACGCGAACAGCTGATTGAAAGTTATGTGTTACGTCACGCAGAAGTCTGCGTTCATTGGCCAATGTTGCCGGAAGAGCAGAGAATATAGGACAGATGATAGCACATATTTCTTGTAGTAAAAGTGTTTTTTCCGTTAAATGTGCAACTTTTGGAAATGGGAACAAGGCATTATTTGTTACTGAATTTCTAAGGAACATTTTAAAATCATTTTCAGTTAGTTACCTTATGTGCGCCACGAAACTGAAAGATAAATGGCCTCGGCTCGCGGCCTAGGCCGCGAGCCGAGGCCCTGAAAAACGCCTAGAAAGTGAGTTTCGTAGCGCACATCTGGTAACTATATTTATTCTTCAGTTTTGTATCAAAATGAACATACTGAACGCATTACAGCTTGTTCCCACTAACGGAAGTTGCACATTTTCTGTAAATCGGGCTTCAAAAATCGTGATGCAAAAGTTGGATATCAAGGGGATTCCCCGAAAATCAATGATCATAGGCTTAAAACGACAGAGCATGGAACGTCGCTTTCATTTCATATATGCCATCGAACACATCAATTTTTTATGCGATAAAATCACAAATTATCACCTTAAGCACAAAAACACAAGTTAATCGGTTAAAACCCTGGTGCTAAATTCGATATAAGGCGGTTCCCAGAAAATCAATAACCATAGGTTTACAATACAGCAAAAGAACTATGCAATTCAAGAGCCCAGCTGCATTTAACACTAATGTATTTCTGCAGCGTTTTGTCTGACCAAAATCAGCCTCCCTCGCACAAGCAACAAAGAACGGTATAAGATGTTGCATTTATTTTATAAAAGCCATCAAGCGCATTTATTTTTATGCAATGAAGTCACAAAAGCACTAATAATGAAAAAAGAGAAATTGACACCGAAAAGTCAAGAAAATTGAATGAATGAATGACACTATCACATATCTGTAAGAATCTAATAAATTATAATTTCAATATCTAATTCATTTTCAACTGTCTCGGTTTCGAAAATCGACTTTTCCTCTATTAGTTCACACTGGTTTTGGCAGTCAACACAAAAACAAAATTCTGTACAATTGAGGTTGTTTTTGGTACATGTGCATAAATTACTTTGGCACCTATTCTTCTTGCACTTGCAGTTTGCCAACTCAAGAACTGATTTGGGGGCTGGAAGTAGATCCATCCATTTAACTTGCAAAACGCCATCATCAAGAACCCATCCATGGCCAATAGGTGAAGGAATAATTGGCTTTGGTTCTAGGCAAAGGTGATGAATTGCTGCCTGGTAATTTGCCCTCAGAACATGCTCCTTCAGTGAATCACTGTTGGGTGGAAGGGTGTGATCCATGTGTTTGCCTGTTTTGAAAAGACGTGCCCTGGCATCGTTTACATTTTTCATATTCTCTCCATACAGCGAGCAAACAAATTCCTCAGCTCTATTCATTGATGCCTCGTTAACGTCAAAAGATCTTCCTAGTTGAGCAAAAAACTCGATGAATTTTGACTCCTCCAACACCAGTTTGATGGGCTTCACTTTTCCTTTTCCATAAAAGGAGGACACGCTATCACAGCCAGTGAATGCATGTGCTCCTACCATAGCCATTGGAGCCGATGGGTGGATTTGGCTCAGATAACAATGTATGGCACCAACATCAATAACCCGTCTACCTTTGGCACCGCCAGTTTCAAACCAAAGAGAACAACCCAAATTGTCATATTTTGCAATGCACAGTATGAGCACGTCCGTGTCTGGTGACTGGATTACTATAGAGTTGCAAGAGTTAGCGGCAAACTTAGCGTGAAGCATTAGACGGGTGTCAGCCTCTTCATGAGAGCATTCCAATTCATCTACTCTTGCAATTGTTGGAGTATGCGATGTACTAGCAAAGCAAATTTTCAGACAAGATTCCGCATAGCCGATAAACAGTGTGAAGTCAAGACTTTGGACATTCTGACTCCAAGATTTAATAAAAAATTCCATCAGGAGCTCCTTGTTTTTTCCGCAGGATAAGTACTTTTTCCACTGAAGTGGTATCCTCTGGCTCTCTGAATAAATTTCATTTTCTCTTGTTTGGCAAACAGCTTGATGCTTAGCCCTCCGATGTCTTTCTGCGTTCTTAATGCTTATTGTGGTTGATGCTGATGCTTTGTAGAACAGCCATTGCATCTAGTATCCAAACTGATTCGCTTGGTAATCCTTTAGCAATAGAAGATGGTATACTTTCGCAGAGGTAATGCATCAGTTTTGCTTTGGATGTCCTCATTAGGCCTCCGTCTGTGTATGCCAACGACAAGGGCAAAGGGCCAAGAGAGTATTTGAGCAAATCCTCAATCTTGATACCTCTCTCTCTTCCTATGATTGCAAGACGCGCCATCAGATTTCTTCCAGACTTTAAATCCATCTCCTTTTGACTGCATTTGGTCTTAATTATTTTTCCAACACTTGAAAACGATTTTAATTTCAAATTACTTATAGTATCATGAAAACTTTTCTTGTTTGATAAAAGCCGATCTTTGCAGAACTGAGTGAAGCAGAATCTACCTCTCTCTTCAGCTGTCATAATATCACTGGCAATTACTTCGGGAACTACGACTCCTGAAACAATATGTATAAGATCCTCAGATTCACGTGAAAAGGGGTTTATAAAACCTTCCATACACTCAATAATGCGACAAATGGCTGATTCTTCTCGTACAGAATGAGGTTTATCAAGATCTTTCCTATCACGCCCTTGCGAGTCTCTCCCAGCATACCCAAAGCATGCCTTTGTTATTTGTGCCCTTTCTGGGTGTGATAATATCCACCTCTGAGAAGCACCTTTGTTGAGGGTGAATCCTACCATTCCACCTTTCGTTTTTGTATCTCTGTTGCACGTTTGCTCTATTGCCATATCACATGCAACTTGTGAAAATCCATAGCGTGCTTGTCTCTGAACCACAAATTCTCCATTTACAAACATGTTATGAACATCTGGGTGGGTCTCTTGAAGAGACATCATCTCAAGATAATATATTGGTAAGTATCGGGCATATTTGTTGCGGTTAGTGATTAACATCCATGGACACATGGCACGGACAGCAGACAAATGCAATGCCCAGTTCCCTTCTTTTGTGGCACGCAGAAAAAGAAGAAGAATTTCAATCATCTCAAGGTAAGAAGACCAGAACCTGAAAGTTGGGCATTTTGATTTTGACTTGATAAATCCAACATATTTCTGGTACACAGTGTTGTACTCAGGTGAGACAGCAACTTCTGCATACATATGCGAAGGGAAATGTTCTTTCAAGTCAGATATGACTTTTTTCACAAGATTGTAATCAGTTTCTGAAATTTCCTCTAGGAAAGACTGCCATCTAAGACGATGAAGAGCTTCATAAATCAGCTTGTGGCACCTTACGCTTCGATTATAATGATGTCCACTTAACACCCCAGTGAGAGAACCTTCTGCACAAAGTTCTGCTTCGATGATTATATCACGAAGGCCTGCATCGCCAAACCACTTACCTATGCAAGCTAAGTAAGTCATAGCAGTGTGGAATTCACCAAGTCGAAGAACGGTTCTGTTTTTAAATAGTTCCGTCTGCCACCGTATTGTCTGAGCCTTAGAGTAAATAGCCTGATCGAAAACAATTACTATTGTCTGCAACTTGAGTTTATCTGCAATCTGAACACTTCGTTCCAGGACAGTCAAGACTGTGTCCATTTTTGTAGGGCTTGCATAAATTACAGGCAAATATCCTACAGATGATAAAAGGGGAACATTTTGCACCAGCTTTGTATTAAATCCTGTCCATGTAGGAAAAAAAGATTCTTCGTTGTCCCCTGGAATCCTTGTGAGAATATAGGCCTGGTCAAGCTTTCGGGCATATTCCTGTACCACAAAACTGCATCTAGTTGTCACTACGCTCTCACCAATCTGTTGCGGTGCGGCTTTCTTTTGTCCACGATATGCAACTAGACCAGAAGATGAAGGCTGAAATGAGCGTTTTCTATCACGTGAAAGTCCTGCTGTAGGTTCCAAATACCCAGATACTTGTTCACATTCAGGAATAGTTCTCTGTACTATTATACCATTAGTATTATGGGTGGTGCCCTTTCCAGTAGATGTCTCTTCCCCAAAATCGTTATTATCCCACACAAGCGTCACAGGCCGATTTGATTTGATACATGATGGAGAAACAAGATGGGACCCTTCAGCTCTTGTAAGGTGGCCAGAGCAGTGTCGTATTCTAAAACAATAGTATTGGACACACAGTGCCCCAGACCGTTGAGGAGGGTAATCAACGAGGCTGATCCAGTCAAATGACGGACTGCCATAGCAAGTGACATGTGCTTGGGCATGTGCATTCTTCCGCCCTTGGATAGGTAAACAATATCCTGGCAGATGGAGTAGATTTTTTTTGACATTCTTTCTTCTACTTCTACACAAAAAGGACCAGAAATTAACCCAGTAATCCAACTAATAAATTGAACCAGCAACTTTGGTACAGATTTTTTTACTGCATTATCATCGAAGTGCTCTGAAGTGGGAGGCCAGTGTTGAAAAGAAGGGTCATGGTCATTAATAACATTTCTGAGATACATCGCAGAAGCAAATATTTGCTGTGGATTAGTTGCAGGAGGCGCGGATGGTTGCGAACATGTTGGTTGCTCATTCTCAGAATCGTCTTCCATTTCTGCCTCCATAACAGTGTATGTGACAGTATGATCGGCAGTGTTTTCTTTTTCTTCAATGACATCAACAACTGAAATGGTATCCACGAACACCAGATCACTGCACGTCTGCTCTTTGGACCGTATAAATGCAAGTTGTGGAAATTTTTTTTTTAAACGCTCTTTCAAGTTGGAGGTACGATAACCAGGAGAATCAAAAAGCTCAAACTGTTCGATGTATCTCTTGAAGAGGGTGTTTAAGAATGTTAACCGAAATATCTCCTTGTTCACAATTATCCTTGGTACAATAAATTCTTCACAAAACATTTTGAATGCAGTAGCATACCGCGTATCCACAGACCCTGACTGTTCTATCTTTCTTCTCATGAAGCGAGTATAGCCTTGGTAGCAACTTGAATGGCACCGGACTTCGGATGCAACCGGATCAACATCCCGTAGTTGGAGTAGTAAAATCTGAAATTGATACAATCAACATGAGCTAACGAGGAATATAAAAGCTTATCAATGAAACATTATTCTGGTGACTAGGGCTGTTCAAAATCGAATACTTTTTTGATTCGAATCAAACCGAATATTTTTCTCGAATCGAACCGAATATTATTGTGCAATCCTAAATTTGTCTCTATTGCACAATAAAAACTTCCCCTTCGATATTGTGATAACGTATGTGCAGTTACATTCAAATTATTGGTAATATATTGCATAACTATGTTTCCAGAGTTATAAAAGGAGATCACAAGCCTCTTTGAACTGGTCAAAAAAATAGCGGTTCGAATACTATCAAGTTTTAAGAGTTTGAAATTGCACGAACTCTCACCATTACGGTATTTACTCATTTTCAATGGATTCAGTTTCAATAGGGCATGCAAATCCTGTTATCATTGGTATTACTAACTCAAGATTTTTTGTGTAATTTTCAGCAAAATGATAAACAACTAAAAAACGTCATCTTCAAATCTTTGTTTTCGATAACTTTTCATTTATGGCCATGCATGAAATGGATAATTACATGTTACCGGGCAATAGGAGAGACATCTTTTTACAGCAAAGAAAGCGATAGAAATAGGTTTTTGCTTGCTCCGTGAAAAACGCCGTGCAAAGGTGGTCGTGAGGCGCATTATGTACCATATTTTAGTGATTCGCAAATTGGCCGAAAAACGCTTCGAATAGTATGCAATTCTATTCGATTTCGAATAATTGATTCACTTGGACAGCCCTACTGGTGACTACACCACAATCATAACTGATGGATGTAAAGGTTGATATTTCAAACTCACCTCATCTTTTTTTCGCTTTGCTGCTTCGAGAAGGCATCCTGCTTCCAATGTCTGACACCGAGTCAGTTTCTCTAATACTCTCTTCCCAGTCACCTTATTGCGTTTAAATCTCGTAATTCCACATATAGTACACTTTACGGAAAAAATATGCGGTCGTTCAATCGTTCCCAAACCCTTTGTTGGTATAGAAGAGCGTAGCATCTTTTTAGGCAGTGCGAGTGTGTCAGGATCAAGCTCCCCGGCTAAAACAAATTATTCATTTTCAATTACCAAATTGTCCGCTACTCACGGTCTGTCATCACATTTTAGTGTAGGTATAAGTTTTTTTCGACTCCATAATCAGCATGACTGGCAATAAAATGATTTGTAAAAACGAATAAATAAAAACTGATCTTGAAATCAGGGGAGCAAACAAAACCTCAGACAAGATTTAGCGGTACCGGTAGCTAAACTGATGCAATTGTTATGATTCTCATATACCTTTACGCTTTTCCTTGTGACTTTTTCTTCGACCCATTTTATTTTTACATGTATAGCGCTGATAGCAGCAGCGATGGTAGCCTGCATTAGGTGGAATGGGTGGAACATTGCCACTTTCTTCTGAAGTGAAGTATCTAAAATGTGGAAGAAATGCATATTCTGAACAACATGAGTGTTTTTCGACAAATAAAAATACCACTAAACACTGACTAAAACCACTCATACATAATGCATTTTATCTCATGTACCGTACGGTACTACAGTCATGTAGTGTTTGCATAAAAGATTATGTGTACACTGAATCTCGTTAAATCACACAGTCCCTGCCCTGCATACATATATATTTTAAAACATTAACTGTCATTGTATAAGTCAATACAGTGATACATGAATTCTCACCTTTCAATCACTTCCAACGCTACATCTTTTTCAACTCCTGCATGACTTATATTTGCTGCCCAGGTCTTTGTCGACTCTATAAATTTAGACCAACCGACATCAGTAAAATTGGTCACTTTCCCCTCGTTCTTACAAACATGCATCACACAAACGGCCATTATTTTTTATTCAAATATACTGTAGTCTATATTAAAGGGTCTGCTGAATACTCAAGAATCGTCAATAAATTAATTCTAAACCTTCCATACAAGCATGGAAATATCTTTGTTTGTTTGTGATACCGTAACTTTATATCTTTCTAGGTCTAGTCCTCCTTCAGTCCTTGAAGTTGCCCTACAAAGCCTATTTAACAACTAAAATTGCTATCCATGGTAAGAATCTACGAGTGTATAACACCTTACCTATACTTTTTAACACCGTCTTAGCATAACTCAATTAATAATAACTAAAAAAACGATGGAAAGGCAACCGCACCCAACCTAACACAAGACTGAGCGATAAAACTGAGATTCATCCGCACGCGAACAGCTGATTGAAAGTTATGTGTTACGTCACGCAGAAGTCTGCGTTCATTGGCCAATGTTGCCGGAAGAGCAGAGAATATAGGACAGATGATAGCACATATTTCTTGTAGTAAAAGTGTTTTTTCCGTTAAATGTGCAACTTTTGGAAATGGGAACAAGGCATTATTTGTTACTGAATTTCTAAGGAACATTTTAAAATCATTTTCAGTTAGTTACCTTATGTGCGCCACGAAACTGAAAGATAAATGGCCTCGGCTCGCGGCCTAGGCCGCGAGCCGAGGCCCTGAAAAACGCCTAGAAAGTGAGTTTCGTAGCGCACATCTGGTAACTATATTTATTCTTCAGTTTTGTATCAAAATGAACATACTGAACGCATTACAGCTTGTTCCCACTAACGGAAGTTGCACATTTTCTGTAAATCGGGCTTCAAAAATCGTGATGCAAAAGTTGGATATCAAGGGGATTCCCCGAAAATCAATGATCATAGGCTTAAAACGACAGAGCATGGAACGTCGCTTTCATTTCATATATGCCATCGAACACATCAATTTTTTATGCGATAAAATCACAAATTATCACCTTAAGCACAAAAACACAAGTTAATCGGTTAAAACCCTGGTGCTAAATTCGATATAAGGCGGTTCCCAGAAAATCAATAACCATAGGTTTACAATACAGCAAAAGAACTATGCAATTCAAGAGCCCAGCTGCATTTAACACTAATGTATTTCTGCAGCGTTTTGTCTGACCAAAATCAGCCTCCCTCGCACAAGCAACAAAGAACGGTATAAGATGTTGCATTTATTTTATAAAAGCCATCAAGCGCATTTATTTTTATGCAATGAAGTCACAAAAGCACTAATAATGAAAAAAGAGAAATTGACACCGAAAAGTCAAGAAAATTGAATGAATGAATGACACTATCACATATCTGTAAGAATCTAATAAATTATAATTTCAATATCTAATTCATTTTCAACTGTCTCGGTTTCGAAAATCGACTTTTCCTCTATTAGTTCACACTGGTTTTGGCAGTCAACACAAAAACAAAATTCTGTACAATTGAGGTTGTTTTTGGTACATGTGCATAAATTACTTTGGCACCTATTCTTCTTGCACTTGCAGTTTGCCAACTCAAGAACTGATTTGGGGGCTGGAAGTAGATCCATCCATTTAACTTGCAAAACGCCATCATCAAGAACCCATCCATGGCCAATAGGTGAAGGAATAATTGGCTTTGGTTCTAGGCAAAGGTGATGAATTGCTGCCTGGTAATTTGCCCTCAGAACATGCTCCTTCAGTGAATCACTGTTGGGTGGAAGGGTGTGATCCATGTGTTTGCCTGTTTTGAAAAGACGTGCCCTGGCATCGTTTACATTTTTCATATTCTCTCCATACAGCGAGCAAACAAATTCCTCAGCTCTATTCATTGATGCCTCGTTAACGTCAAAAGATCTTCCTAGTTGAGCAAAAAACTCGATGAATTTTGACTCCTCCAACACCAGTTTGATGGGCTTCACTTTTCCTTTTCCATAAAAGGAGGACACGCTATCACAGCCAGTGAATGCATGTGCTCCTACCATAGCCATTGGAGCCGATGGGTGGATTTGGCTCAGATAACAATGTATGGCACCAACATCAATAACCCGTCTACCTTTGGCACCGCCAGTTTCAAACCAAAGAGAACAACCCAAATTGTCATATTTTGCAATGCACAGTATGAGCACGTCCGTGTCTGGTGACTGGATTACTATAGAGTTGCAAGAGTTAGCGGCAAACTTAGCGTGAAGCATTAGACGGGTGTCAGCCTCTTCATGAGAGCATTCCAATTCATCTACTCTTGCAATTGTTGGAGTATGCGATGTACTAGCAAAGCAAATTTTCAGACAAGATTCCGCATAGCCGATAAACAGTGTGAAGTCAAGACTTTGGACATTCTGACTCCAAGATTTAATAAAAAATTCCATCAGGAGCTCCTTGTTTTTTCCGCAGGATAAGTACTTTTTCCACTGAAGTGGTATCCTCTGGCTCTCTGAATAAATTTCATTTTCTCTTGTTTGGCAAACAGCTTGATGCTTAGCCCTCCGATGTCTTTCTGCGTTCTTAATGCTTATTGTGGTTGATGCTGATGCTTTGTAGAACAGCCATTGCATCTAGTATCCAAACTGATTCGCTTGGTAATCCTTTAGCAATAGAAGATGGTATACTTTCGCAGAGGTAATGCATCAGTTTTGCTTTGGATGTCCTCATTAGGCCTCCGTCTGTGTATGCCAACGACAAGGGCAAAGGGCCAAGAGAGTATTTGAGCAAATCCTCAATCTTGATACCTCTCTCTCTTCCTATGATTGCAAGACGCGCCATCAGATTTCTTCCAGACTTTAAATCCATCTCCTTTTGACTGCATTTGGTCTTAATTATTTTTCCAACACTTGAAAACGATTTTAATTTCAAATTACTTATAGTATCATGAAAACTTTTCTTGTTTGATAAAAGCCGATCTTTGCAGAACTGAGTGAAGCAGAATCTACCTCTCTCTTCAGCTGTCATAATATCACTGGCAATTACTTCGGGAACTACGACTCCTGAAACAATATGTATAAGATCCTCAGATTCACGTGAAAAGGGGTTTATAAAACCTTCCATACACTCAATAATGCGACAAATGGCTGATTCTTCTCGTACAGAATGAGGTTTATCAAGATCTTTCCTATCACGCCCTTGCGAGTCTCTCCCAGCATACCCAAAGCATGCCTTTGTTATTTGTGCCCTTTCTGGGTGTGATAATATCCACCTCTGAGAAGCACCTTTGTTGAGGGTGAATCCTACCATTCCACCTTTCGTTTTTGTATCTCTGTTGCACGTTTGCTCTATTGCCATATCACATGCAACTTGTGAAAATCCATAGCGTGCTTGTCTCTGAACCACAAATTCTCCATTTACAAACATGTTATGAACATCTGGGTGGGTCTCTTGAAGAGACATCATCTCAAGATAATATATTGGTAAGTATCGGGCATATTTGTTGCGGTTAGTGATTAACATCCATGGACACATGGCACGGACAGCAGACAAATGCAATGCCCAGTTCCCTTCTTTTGTGGCACGCAGAAAAAGAAGAAGAATTTCAATCATCTCAAGGTAAGAAGACCAGAACCTGAAAGTTGGGCATTTTGATTTTGACTTGATAAATCCAACATATTTCTGGTACACAGTGTTGTACTCAGGTGAGACAGCAACTTCTGCATACATATGCGAAGGGAAATGTTCTTTCAAGTCAGATATGACTTTTTTCACAAGATTGTAATCAGTTTCTGAAATTTCCTCTAGGAAAGACTGCCATCTAAGACGATGAAGAGCTTCATAAATCAGCTTGTGGCACCTTACGCTTCGATTATAATGATGTCCACTTAACACCCCAGTGAGAGAACCTTCTGCACAAAGTTCTGCTTCGATGATTATATCACGAAGGCCTGCATCGCCAAACCACTTACCTATGCAAGCTAAGTAAGTCATAGCAGTGTGGAATTCACCAAGTCGAAGAACGGTTCTGTTTTTAAATAGTTCCGTCTGCCACCGTATTGTCTGAGCCTTAGAGTAAATAGCCTGATCGAAAACAATTACTATTGTCTGCAACTTGAGTTTATCTGCAATCTGAACACTTCGTTCCAGGACAGTCAAGACTGTGTCCATTTTTGTAGGGCTTGCATAAATTACAGGCAAATATCCTACAGATGATAAAAGGGGAACATTTTGCACCAGCTTTGTATTAAATCCTGTCCATGTAGGAAAAAAAGATTCTTCGTTGTCCCCTGGAATCCTTGTGAGAATATAGGCCTGGTCAAGCTTTCGGGCATATTCCTGTACCACAAAACTGCATCTAGTTGTCACTACGCTCTCACCAATCTGTTGCGGTGCGGCTTTCTTTTGTCCACGATATGCAACTAGACCAGAAGATGAAGGCTGAAATGAGCGTTTTCTATCACGTGAAAGTCCTGCTGTAGGTTCCAAATACCCAGATACTTGTTCACATTCAGGAATAGTTCTCTGTACTATTATACCATTAGTATTATGAGTGGTGCCCTTTCCAGTAGATGTCTCTTCCCCAAAATCGTTATTATCCCACACAAGCGTCACAGGCCGATTTGATACATGATGGAATAGAGATGGGACCCTTCAGCTCTTGTAAGGTGGCCAGAGCAGTGTCGTATTCTAAAACAAGAGTATTGGACACACAGTGCCCCAGACCGTTGAGGAGGGTAATCAACGAGGCTGATCCAGTCAAATGACGGACTGCCATAGCAAGTGACATGTGCTTGGGCATGTGCATTCTTCCGCCCTTGGATAGGTAAACAATATCCTGGCAGATGGAGTAGATTTTTTTTGACATTCTTTCTTCTACTTCTACACAAAAAGGATCAGAGATTAACCCAGTAATCCAACTAATAAATTGAACCAGCAACTTTGGTACAGGTTTTTTCACTGCATTATCATCGAAGTGCTCTGAAGTGGGAGGCCAGTGTTGAAAAGAAGGGTCATGGTCATTTATAACATTTCTGAGATACATCGCAGAAGCAAATATTTGCTGTGGATTAGTTGCAGGAGGCGCGGATGGTTGCGAACATGTTGGTTGCTCATTCTCAGAATCGTCTTCCATTTCTGCCTCCATAACAGTGTATGTGACAGTATGATCGGCAGTGTTTTCTTTTTCTTCAATGACATCAACAACTGAAATGGTATCCACGAACACTAGATCACTGCACGTCTGCTCTTTGGACCGTATAAATGCAAGTTGTGGAAATTTTTTTTTTAAACGCTCTTTCAAGTTGGAGGTACGATAACCAGGAGAATCAAAAAGCTCAAACTGTTCGATGTATCTCTTGAAGAGGGTGTTTAAGAATGTTAACGGAAATATCTCCTTGTTCACAATTATCCTTGGTACAATAAATTCCTCACAAAACATTTTGAATGCAGTAGCATACCGCGTATCCACAGACCCTGACTGTTCTATCTTTCTTCTCATGAAGCGAGTATAGCCTTGGTAGCAACTTGAATGGTACCGGACTTCGGATGCAACCGGATCAACATCCCGTAGTTGGAGTAGTAAAATCTGAAATTGATACAATCAACATGAGCTAACGAGGAATATAAAAGCTTATCAATGAAACATTATTCTGGTGACTAGGGCTGTTCAAAATCGAATACTTTTTTGATTCGAATCAAACCGAATATTTTTCTCGAATCGAACCGAATATTATTGTGCAATCCTAAATTTGTCTCTATTGCACAATAAAAACTTCCTCTTCGATATTGTGATAACGTATGTGCAGTTACATTCAAATTATTGGTAATATATTGCATAACTATGTTTCCAGAGTTATAAAAGGAGATCACAAGCCTCTTTGAACTGGTCAAAAAAATAGCGGTTCGAATACTATCAAGTTTTAAGAGTTTGAAATTGCACGAACTCTCACCATTACGGTATTTACTCACTTTTAATGGATTCAGTTTCAATAGGGCATGCAAATCCTGTTATCATTGGTATTACTAACTCAAGATTTTTTGTGTCATTTTCAGCAAAATGATAAACAACTAAAAAACGTCATCTTCAAATCTTTGTTTTCGATAACTTTTCATTTATGGCCATGCATAAAATGGATAATTACATGTTACCGGGCAATAGGAGAGACATCTTTTTACAGCAAAGGAAGCGATAGAAATAGGTTTTTGCTTGCTCCGTGAAAAACGCTGTGCAAAGGTGGTCGTGAGGCGCATTATGTACCATATTTTAGTGATTCGCAAATTGGCCGAAAAACGCTTCGAATAGTATGCAATTCTATTCGATTTCGAATAATTGATTCACTTGGACAGCCCTACTGGTGACTACACCACAATCATAACTGATGGATGTAAAGGTTGATATTTCAAACTCACCTCATCTTTTTTTCGCTTTGCTGCTTCGAGAAGGCATCCTGCTTCCAATGTCTGACACCGAGTCAGTTTCTCTAATACTCTCTTCCCAGTCACCTTATTGCATTTAAATCTTGTAATTCCACATGTAGTACACTTTACGGAAAAAATATGCGGTCGTTCAATCGTTCCCAAACCCTTTGTTGGTATAGAAGAGCGTAGCATCTTTTTAGGCAGTGCGAGTGTGTCAGGATCAAGCTCCCCGGCTAAAACAAATTATTCATTTTCAATTACCAAATTGTCCGCTACTCACGGTCTGTCATCACATTTTAGTGTAGGTATAAGTTTTTTTCGACTCCATAATCAGCATGACTGGCAATAAAATGATTTGTAAAAACGAATAAATAAAAACTGATCTTGAAATCAGGGGAGCAAACAAAACCTCAGACAAGATTTAGCGGTACCGGTAGCTAAACTGATGCAATTGTTATGATTCTCATATACCTTTACGCTTTTCCTTGTGACTTTTTCTTCGACCCATTTTATTTTTACATGTATAGCGCTGATAGCAGCAGCGATGGTAGCCTGCATTAGGTGGAATGGGTGGAACATTGCCACTTTCTTCTGGAATGAAGTATCTAAAATGAGGAAGAAATGCATATTCTGAACAACATGAGTGTTTTTCGACAAATAAAAATACCACTAAACACTGACTAAAACCACTCATACATAATGCATTTTATCTCATGTACCGTACGGTACTACAGTCATGTAGTGTTTGCATAAAAGATTATGTGTACACTGAATCTCGTTAAATCACACAGTCCCTGCCCTGCATACATATATATTTTAAAACATTAACTGTCATTGTATAAGTCAATACAGTGATACATGAATTCTCACCTTTTAATCACTTCCAACGCTACATCTTTTTCAACTCCTGCATGACTTATATTTGCTGCCCAGGTCTTTGTCGACTCTATAAATTTAGACCAACCGACTTGGTCACTTTCCCCTCGTTCTTACAAACATGCATCACACAAACGGCCATTATTTTTTATTCAAATATACTGTAGTCTATATTAAAGGGTCTGCTGAATACTCAAGAATCGTCAATAAATTAATTCTAAACCTTCCATACAAGCATGGAAATATCTTTGTTTGTTTGTGATACCGTAACTTTATATCTTTCTAGGTCTAGTCCTCCTTCAGTCCTTGAAGTTGCCCTACAAAGCCTATTTAACAACTAAAATTGCTATCCATGGTAAGAATCTACGAGTGTATAACACCTTACCTATACTTTTTAACACCGTCTTAGCATAACTCAATTAATAATAACTAAAAAAACGATGGAAAGGCAACCGCACCCAACCTAACACAAGACTGAGCGATAAAACTGAGATTCATCCGCACGCGAACAGCTGATTGAAAGTTATGTGTTACGTCACGCAGAAGTCTGCGTTCATTGGCCAATGTTGCCGGAAGAGCAGAGAATATAGGACAGATGATAGCACATATTTCTTGTAGTAAAAGTGTTTTTTCCGTTAAATGTGCAACTTTTGGAAATGGGAACGAGGCATTATTTGTTACTGAATTTCTAAGGAACATTTTAAAATCATTTTCGGTTAGTTACCTTATGTGCGCCACGAAACTGAAAGATAAATGGCCTCGGCTCGCGGCCTATATTCTACTGTCAATTGTCTTCTTTTATATTTTGCATGTTGCTTCATAAATTGACTCAACATTATAATTTCATAAATCTATCTCTGTTTTTTCTATGTTACTTATAAAGTGTCATCTCGTCACTTAACCTAAAGTGTCACATGATATTCAATCATACCTTCAATTTTTGAATCCTCTTGTCCAACGTGTTAATAAACTGACCCCATCACAAATCTAAGTACCGTGCCGGTACAATTTTCGTCCTTCCATGGAGGTTCAGTTCATTACTAATACCGCACTTTGGCATGATACTAATTTACAACCGGCAGGACTTCTGCTGGTATTCAGTTCACTAAAACTGCGTCCCATATTATATCGCCATTTAGTGCGTTTACATGGCAACGATTATCGTGCCAAAACCGTATTTTGACCGAATCGTGTTCATGTAAACTCTTTGGTTCGATCGCCAATCATGACTCAGCGTGTTTGCATCGTGATATTCCAGCACGATTGCACAGGGTAGATTAGCAGGCACGATGCTTTCCACGCACGCGCGAACAGGGATGCGCTGATGGTTTTACTTCAGGCGATGTCGGAGCTCGTTTGTTCTGCGCAACTGCAGAACTTTGGTACCGGTACCGGTACTGCAGTAATGTGACAGCGCTGCCGTTGGCAGAAAGTTTGAACTTTTTATAGAAAGATTTTCAGTTGAGAATTGTTAGTCTTGGTTTTGATCCGTCGAAGTCAAAGAGAATAACAGCCTGTTATGCACGATGTATTCCGTACTGGTACCGGTAACTTGGTCTGACGCATTCTAGTACAGTAGTAAGGTACGGTACCGTGCGGTAAAAGATATGCAAGTGTGGAAGTTGCCTTTATAATGTACGGTACGCACCGGTAATTTAGCAAATGATACAGTAGGTTGCTGAGAGTAACCACAAGTACGGTACCGTACTGAAGTCAGGAAGTGATTTCATTTATGTATCATTTTCTTGCATATTGCCTGTTATACTGATTATGGAGTTGAAATATACGGTACGGTACTTATACATACTGTAGTAATACCTACTTGTAGATGATAGGCCTATGGTCTATGGATAGGCTTACCATTTATATAAAACAAAAACCTGAACATTGCGAGTTAGGTAACATAAACCTTGGCAAGGTACGATACGGTACCGAGGATTAGTACGATAATATTTTAATCATTGGAAATGGCAATTTTGAATAATTGAAAAAACAGTTCAGCAATTGTTAGATGTTAAGTTGACGTATAAATCGTAGAATAATTGTATTACTGTATTATCACAATAGGCTATAGTAATTCTCGCGTTATCTCACTGAACTAGTAAATTGAGTCGCAAATCGGTGATAAATGGTCTGCCTCCGTTAAAAAAATTTTTTGACAGCAATAGCTGAATACTGCATTAACAAAAACTGTCCCGGCTAGACCACGAGGTATGGTAAGCCTACCTATAGAGCATTTCAATCCAACTCTAGTTATCTAGCAAAAGATGAGTATTGCTCGGCAAAATGTTATTTAATTTATTGAAAATATAAATCACACTCTTAGCGCAGAAGCGTATTCAGTTCACTGATTTCTATTTAATTAAAAGTTACCGTACCATAGGAAAGTAGTAGTGCAGTTTATGTTTGCGAGTAAAATGGAGTCTGCATCTAGTCTGAAAACTAAGTGGGAAGACAACGAGGTTAAAACAATGCTTGGCACTGTTCGAGAAATGAATCTGGTTGCTTTGCTTGACCAAAAAAAGTCGAGATCAGAAGTTTTGTACAAAGAAGTTGAGAAGCAGTTGACAGCAAAAGGATACAAAAAGAGGTTTGAGAGCACCATTGTTATGTTATAAAGTTGCAGGCTATTGATTCCAAATTTCAGAAAAATGTGTTGGATTTTTATCAAAATTTCATCAGTTACAAAGTATGTTGATTTAACGACTAGCAGCTTTCAATTTTGCGCATTACTAAAGTGAGATGTTGTTTCCTTTGTAGTTTCCAACAAATACGTAATAAAGTGAAGGCCTTGCGATCTAATTTCAACAAGATAATACGTCTGAATTCTGTTAGTGGGGCGGCTCACAAAACATGTGATTATTATGATGAGCTCTATGAAATGTTCGGCCATCGTCCAGCAGTTGATTATACTAATATGGGAGTGGATATTGGAATCACAAATGCGGTATCACTAGGTAACTACTTTTCTTCAATATTTTTGATTTATGCAGTTGAATTCTACAATTTTTTCTAATTTATGTGCATACTGTCATGCTGATGATTTTTATTTCAGAAATTGAGGAATCACAGAATGCAATGTTTTTCAGCACACCAGAAGAGCCAGGTATGGAGTAGTTCAGTCTAATGCTATGAATTTCCAATAAACTTATATATCTCTCTCTGCATGTTAACCATAATTGAACCTATCCCAGGATTTGACAGAGGAGGATTGTCACATTATTCAACTGGTCTTCCATCCGCTTTCAAGTTCATGTGCCTGGTCCCATACTCAACATGAACTGATATCCTGCCATATAATTACTCCGTCCTAATGGCTTTTCTTTGCCCCGAGATAAATATGGAAATCCGATTACTATCCACCATGCCATCTTAGGCGCGCAATGTTAATTAAGTTGTTTTGCTTAGACTTAGGTACCGAAGAAGCGGCAGCTTCCACTACTGACACCTCTGGTGATACTTCGTCTATTTATGGAGGAAATTCAGAATCTGGTATGAATGCATAAATATACTTGGTAAATATCATAGATCCAAACCAACTAAGTCACACTCTATCATGTTTCTGTAAAACTTTGTGACTAAGAAATGGGCCTTTTGTCTACCTGGGTAAAAATTTCTTTGCCACAATTCAGGAAAAAAACATTCGGTTGACTTGGAAGACCTCTTCGAAAAACAGAGGGAGTGGGAAGAAAAAATGATGCATGAACAAATGGAAGCTCACGCCCAAATGATGAGAGAGACTGTGCAAGAGATGGGGTCGGTATTTTTTGCATGCGTGTCCCAGCTTTCAAAAAGTCGAGGTAAATGCCTAAGTTTTGTGTGCATACATGAATTTTCAAGTGCGACTTGTCGATACCGCTGGTTTTGAATCTTGAACTCATGGAGAACTACTCTCGTACTGAGAATAAGGTCTCCATCATATGTATAATTACTTAGGCTACCTTTACCCCACACATAATTTGAGATAGATTAAAACTTTTTTTAAGATACCAACGAATGAATCAAGTCTACTTGGCCACAACAACCATGCTCAAGTGTTGGAAATGTTTTTATTCTTTAAATAACAAATTGAATTTGGCTCTGTCGTTGTGCATGTTGAAATAAATATAAAAACCAAAACAATGTTTCATCGTGATTTGAAATTGAAAATATCAATGTGCAGAGTCACGTAAAAGGCAAGTTCTTGAAAAAAAGTGAACAGACCTGCTGTATTAATTGCAACTGACAGATGGGAAAATGTTCAAAAAAGTAATATTGTTCGTATTGTTTAGGGGTGTAGGGAGGCGACTACAATGAACTTTGTCTCAAAGGAAAATTTTCCTCTAAAAAGATTCTCAATGCCTCCCTGTTTTGTACCGCTTCACTGCAACTGCTGGCCGCTGACCTACGTTCAGGCTGTGGTTGTGCAACGCAAGTTCCATTCGACCATCTTCCCAGAAATACATCTTTCCTTTTCTCACATATATTGTGCAACACACAGCATGTTGCGGCAACCTTTGGCATAAACTTGTAACTGATGTCACACCTTTTAGATAAACATCTCCACCTGAATATAATATCTAGTATAAGACTACCTCCCAAAAGTGTTTGTCCCTTCATTGGATTGGTTGTAATGAAGTCTTTACCTGCTTTTGAGGCGTCCAAATGCATGTTCCACCACATTGCGTGCAGATGGAAGATATACATTAAAAGACTCCTCAGATGGATTTAAACTTCCAGAGTAACCTTTCATAAGCCATGTTTGCAAAGGGTATGCTGGATCGCCTAGTATCATCAGTGGGACGTCACAACTTTGAATTCGTTTTATGGTCTGCAAAAAATAATATAACATCGTTGTGACTGTTTGAAATGAATACAACATGCTTATGCTTGTTACCGAAGGAAGACTTCCTGCCACAGCAAGCTTGTACAGCGAAGAATTTTTCAGTACTGTTGCATCATGCACACTTCCTGGCATTGAACAAGATATATCTCTGAATCTGATTGAAAATAACTTTGAATCAGATTTTATTCACATCACAGTTTAGTCCAATTTATAATTAGGTAGTTAGGACTAACAATACCACGACTGTGTTCACTGATAGTCTTGTCTATATTATTACAAAGGAAAATTTTTAAGAAACTGATGTTACAACTAACTAGCCATGAATACAAGCTTCAGTGTTTTTTATTTTGACTATGTAAGCCATTAAGCCTGCTTTCTGTGAAGAATATCTCACTCATAATCTTACTTACATGCATCTATCATCTACAACAACCTGTAATATTATAGACGGCCATCCTTTGCGATTTGTAAAATCTCTATAACCTGTCTTTGGTGGTAAAATAGGAATGTGAGTTCCATACATGCGGAAAACTGTGAGCTTTGAAAATTCTTTCACTGATTTTAATAGCTTCAACATCTGATGGAGGAAAACTGATATGTTGTTTTGCAAGATTATCGGTGAAAACCCTGGTACAAAAGTTTCAAAAGAGTTATGTAACCAATGACTTAATAAATATTCAAAGCCAAGAACTACCTGCAAAATTGATAAACACAGACATGCACTGTGCATTTTGCAATCCCAAATATATTTGCAACCACCCTGTATTCACAGCAACTAGCGAGTTTGTATAAAGCCACGGCAACCTTTTTTTCCACTGGCAAAGGCGGTCTAACCCAGTTCTGTTTTGGTGACATATAGGGTCTGACTTGTTCCACAATGTATTGAAATGTACTCCAGGATACCTTAAAACAAAATTTGTTGTAAGATAAGAATCTCTTACTTCAAAAACTTCACATCTGTCCATTTTTAACTAGGATTTGATATTATTAAGTGCAGATAAAATTGTCCTTCAAATATCTAAAAAAGGTAAATCTTTAGGTGAGGTAAATTTACCCGGAAATTTTCTATCCAATCTTCATCAACAAAATGCTGATTTACAATTCTGTCCCACCATTCTGAAGTTCGTGTTTTTTTCCAAAATCTTCGACATCTTTTTTTTGTAGGTGTAGGAATACGATAAGCTTTTTTCAAAAAATTGAGTCGGCTACGCCTTAGCATAACCTGACATAGCTTTAATCTTTCATTTGTTAAAAACAGCATTATTAATTGCATCATTCGTATCAGTATCAAAGTGGGCAGAATCTGAAATATAACAATATGATCACATTTAATATCCAGTGAGCAAACGTAACACCTTTCAGCTTTTACAGTTTTATGGAAATATCTAAATCTTATGTATGATTCATTCACCACGAAAATGCCTCATAAAACACCTGCATACAGTATATGCGAAAGCGAGAGCATAAAAACATCAGGCATCCTTGTGGTAATATCATAAATCCACCCAATAACCAGCAAAAAATTACAAAATAAGAAATCTAATCCTTACGTGCGTACCTGGGACAAATCCATCTTCATTTTTTTTTCGTTCCCTCCAGGAGCAAATAACCATTTACAGTACATCAATCAATAAGTATAAATAACCATGGAGTGCAGAAACATTAACAATTGTTTTTCAATTAATCCCTGCATATACTTTTTTGTTTTTTGCACCACCCCATATGAGTGGGATATAACCAGACAATTACAATATTAAATTAAAAAAAAGTATTGTAAAATAAAATAATGGTATAAATATTCAAACCAGTTTTGCTCCCATGTTTCGGTTCATTTATCTGCATATACTTTTTATTACGGCCTCACAAATCCAGCGCCCCATGCCGTGGCCGACACCGGTATTTCAAGAAGAAGTAGACTACTTTTATTGGTATGCCAGATTAAGAACATCATAAACTTTCCAAGATAAAATGTAACGTTGTCATGTTATTCTTAAAAGATAAGCACTTGAAGTGTTGAAGATAACTACTTAAAAACCTCAATATTTTGGCTAAATATATACATAAATAAAATTTTATCTGGTCGTTTAAACGAATTCGAAAGGAGGAGTAAAACGTAAAAATGACAAACAAATTCCATGTCAAATACGATAGCTTGGTTGCGCGGGAATTTTTTTAACCGGATCGAAATTCAATAGTGTCCATGTAAACTCGAGACAAATTTTTGCGTTCGATTGTCTGAAATACGATTTGGGAACGTTTTTTGCTGAAACGATTATCGTGTACATGTAAACGTAGTAATTGTCGCCTCACAATGGTACCATTGTGACTATGCCTCAAGACGCTATTGCCATAGTTACCTAGAATACTAGTGCACGGAGTCGTCTTTTTTTTGTAGTTGCGAAAACGCGAGAATCCTGGGAACACCAGGTTTTTCTCTGACGTATTTATTGTTTTCTTCCAATAACATATATAGTTCGAATCTTTGTTATTATTATCTGTTAGACTATTTTATGGGTGTCAGATTTAGGCACACAGATGTTCCATGTCATACGCGTTTATTGTAAAACGGTTGACTGTAAATAAAGTGAAATAATCAATAAACAATCACAAGATGAGGGCGGAACGAAAATGCATAACCAGACCAGAAAGTTAATAGAAAATAAACTTACATATGATAACGATCCAAAGGCCTAAATCGACAAGAAACTGACAGGTAACGTGAACGATCACGTTATTAGAATATAACAGGGTTGTCCAAAACGAATCGAATATTCGAAATTATTCGAATATCAAGGTATTCGAATACCTTTTCGGCTCATTTCCGAATAATTACGAATAGTAGTCACTTTTCGCCGTAAACACGGTGTTTCGTTTTACCGGAATCTTCAAACGACTTTTTACGCTTTCTCACGTATTGTAATGACGATGAAATAGAATACGATGAAATAGAGTCGGCATTTTGATTGTTTATATTCAGCGCGAATGTACGTTGCATAGTGTTGCGACACATTTGCACGTTTGCGTTGGTGGACATTGCCGACATTCGTCTTTTAATTCACAAAATCATTTCCATTAGTCGAAAAATCGACAATCACCGTATTTCCCGGCTAATAAGTCGCTTTTCTTGACCCAATTTTGGCTTGATTTTTTTTTTTGGGGGGGGGGGGGCGCCTTATTGAGAAAGCATGTTTATTTTATTTCTATGTGGCCTGCTTATTTTTCGCATTAGTCTTCTCAAGCATAATTTGTGTTAAACCTCATATTTGGTTCTTATGGGTCTGCCAATCATGATATTTAATCGTAGGCCGGTTATCGTTACTTAAAAGAGAAAACACGGCCACCGCCACCGAGATAAAGTAAGTGATTTATGACCCTTTGGTTTTGCCGATTCAGCAGAAAACGACAGGGACATGAAACACAGCTGTGAAATAACCCGTGGACGTACCGTGTGGTACTTATCACATTCCAAAATTATTTCAACATTCGGGTTGATAGGTTGTCCAAAATGATTGCCGCTTTATAATTTAAATTTATCGCTTCGTTGTTGAGAATAGATAATTCCGTGAGTATGGTTCTACCAAACAAACATGATCTGGTTCTGTTCTGACCATATAAAATTGTAGATTATTCAAAATGATTGTGATTTTTAACTTAAAATTACCGCTTTATTGTTAAAAATAGTTAATTCTGTGAGTATGATTTTACTAAACAAACGTGTTCTGGTTCTAAACATTATTAGCGCATATTAGCATAACTGAACAACAGGGAATAATATTTCTACCCGTCTTCTTGGAGGCCTATATGGAAAACCCCCTTTTTTGAGTGCTAAAAATATACATCGTCCTATTTGCCATGTAGACTTATTAGCCGGGAAATACGGTATTTATAGCCGTAATTGTTACGATATCCAATAAATTGTCACAAGTTGGGAAACAAGTTGATTTATTAGAAAAATACTTTCACCCGCTTTCTGGAAAATAATTTTGATAATGATGGTCAAAAGTATCGATAATGAAAGTATTAATACCAAATACCACTGGTATTTGTGGGCATGAAATGTGTGGTAAACTGCCCAATTATAATTAATTTCGGATTCGTATTTACAAAATATTAAAACTATTATAACTCGAAAATACAACGGCGATTTGTGGACTTGAATGTGTAATAAAGTACAAATTATTTTTCCGACTTGTGACAATTTTTTCGAGTACGAAAATAAGAATCAAAAATTAATTATATTCGGGCACAATATCACGGCATTCTGTGGACATAAATTGTGAGGCAAACTCGCGATTGATATTAATTTTTGATTCCTATTTTCGTACTCGAAAAAATTGTCACAAGTCGGAAAAATAATTTGTACTTTATTACACATTCAAGTCCACAAATCGCCGTTGTATTTTTGAGTTATAATAGTTTTAATATTTTGTAAATACGAATCCGAAATTAATTATAATTGGGCAGTTTACCACACATTTCATGCCCACATTTACAAAATACAACGGTGATCTGTGGACATTGAATGTGTGGTAAACTACCCGATTATAAATAGTTTTTGAACCCTATTTTCGTATTTATAAAATAATAAAAGTATTATTACACAAACATACAACGGCGATCTGCGGACTTAAAATGTGTGGTAAAGTTCCCGAATATATTTACTTTCTGATTCGTATTTTTGTACTCACGAAAAAATTGTCACAAGTCTGAAAAAGAACTCATACTTTATCCCGCTTTTTGACAAATAATTTGGATAATGGTTGGTATTTAAAAGTATGGGCGTTTTACTAGGATGATTTTGTGTTGCGCAAGCATTCAAATCCATCACCGATACCACTATTTAAAATGCCTTGTCGTATTATTTTAATTCTGTTAATTGACACAACTCATGTTATATTAAATATATATCGCAATAATCTGCAAACATGAAATGCCTGGTAATATAGCCAGGTTGTAGATAGAAGTTATTCCATTGTTAATTGTATGAAAATTCCTTCATACACTTAGATTCTATTACTGGATTTTATTTTCGAAGTATTCGAAATTTCATATTCGAAAATAATAATTTCGAATGTATTCGAAATAGTGAACTATTCGGTATTGGCCATCCCTGAATATAATAGCAACTAAATTTAGAAAGCAGTTATGAAATGAAAGCAGAATGAAATATAAAAATACATGAACAATTAAAGCAATAAATGACGACGATGGTCATATGGGGCCCCGGTTACGATACCCTCACCACAGACGAGACCAAATGCCACCCACACGCTAAGTCAGTAAAGCGGTTATGCGAAACCACACCACTGACACCATAACAAGATTAAACAAGAACGTCCCACGACGCGTAAAGTCGAGATGCAAGAGCCACGCGTGACACGTCAGGTGCAGTAAAGCCCGCGAAAATCGCGTCAAAACACAAAAGCAATTATCGATAAAAATTAGCCGGTCGGAACACAAGGAAGAACAGCGTTCAAAATATAATCAACTGAAAAGAAACTTCTATCGCCGACACAGCCGCCCACAATAACCCTTCAAGGGGTTATTCATTTTCCAGGAGGCATAGTTTCGTCACAGGTCTGGTTATATCCCCATTCGTTGTTTTAACGGTTGCGACACGCACCCGGTTATCTTTTCCAGGGAAAACTTTGACAACTCTTCCTAGTAGCCAACTTCCTCTTGGCGCGCCGTCATCTACAACAATTACGATATCATCTATCGATAAATTCCTATGATCTTTCAGCCACTTTGTTCGAGTCATCGGCATTGGTAGATACTCTCGCCGCCATCGCTTCCAGAACTGATTCGAGATTGCTTCGGTTTGTCTCCATCTTCTCCGATGCGCTGTTGA